CTGTCTGTTGTTTGCCTGAAAACTGAGCAATGGGGGTGAATTCATTTCAGACCACTAGTGTTTGTCCAATTAATTGTTGTTGTTAAGTACCATTGAGTCAGCTCCAACTCATCACAACCCTGTATACAACAAAATGAAATACTGCCTGGTCATGTGCCATTCTAATAATCGTTACACGTTATTCCATTGCTGTTGCCACTGTGCCAATCCATCTCATTGGCCGTCTTCATGTTTTTCAGTGACCCTCCACTTTACTAAGCATGATGTCCTTCTCCAGGGATTGGTTCCTCCTTATGACATGTGTGACATATGAAAGACAAAGTCTAGCCATCCTGGCTTCTAAGGAGCATTCTGGCTGTACTTCTTTCAACACAGATTTGTTTGTTTCTGGTAGCCCATGGTACTTTAAATATTCTTCTCTAACACCATGACTCAAATGCATCAATTCTTCTACGGTCTTCCTTATTTACATCCCAACTTTCACATGTCTATGAGGCAGTTGAAAATAGCATGGCTTGGGTTAGGTGCACCTTAGTCCTCAAACTGATGTCTTTACTCTTGAACACTTTAATGAGGTCTTGTGCAACATATTTGCCTTATGCAACAGGTTGTCTGATTTCTTGACTACTGCTTCTATAAATGTTGATTTGGATCCAAATGAACTGAAGTCTTTGACAACTTTACTTTGTTTTTCCATTTGTTGTTGTTGTTAAGGACTGTCAAGTCAGTTCCGACTCATAGCCACCCTATATAGGGTTTCAAAGGAGTGATTGGGGAGTTTGAACCACCAACCTTCCAGTTCAAACCAACATTGCCATCTAATGCTTCTCCTACAACGCCACACCAGGACTCCTTTATCATGATGTTATGTATTGGTCTATTGGTGAAGATTTTTGTTTTCATTGCATTGAGGTGCAAACCCATTCTGAAGGTTGTGGTGTTTGATCTTCATCAGTAAGTAATTTTAGTCCTCTTTTAGCAAGTAAGGTTGTATCATTTGCATAACTCAGGTTGTTAATGAGTCTTTGCCCAATTCTGTTGTCACATTCTTCTTCATAAAATCCAGCTTCTTGGATTAGTAAACCTGGCCATTTATTATTATTTTTTGTTTTGTTCCGCTTATTTCTCCCTCTCTATTTGTTGTTGTTGTTAAGTGCTGTCGAGTTGATTCCGACCCATAGCGACCCTGTCTATGTTTCCGAGGAGCAGCTGGTGAGCTTGAACCACCGACCTTGCAGTTGAAGGCTTTGCAGTGTGGCGCATTAACCCACAGCGCCAAACCAGGAGTCCTAGTTAGGACCTTCTAATGTGATCTCTTTCAGAATAATTGATAGTGGTAGCCAGGCACATCTCATTCTTCTTGTCTTAGGGTCATGAAGAGTAATGTTTATGTAGACCATTAGTATATTAGATTAATTGTTTTTATACATCTTCAGTTTTCTTCACTGTTCTTTTCTCCAGACTGGGAGAGACCAGTACTTGCATTTTATATGGCCACTCATGAGCTTTTAAAGACCCTAGTGCCAAAATAGGATGTAGAACATCCAGACCTCCCACTGTCCTCATGGATTCTGTTAGTTTATATTGGTTTCCCTGAGATTATTGTTCTTAGTCCTAAAGCCCAGCAACTCAATCCCTTCAGTTTGTTTGGTTATGGCAAAAATTTCATAAATTTCCCTTTCTTGCTCTACCACAGCCACGGGTATATTTGCAGCAAATGCAAATACTGATGTACAGATATCCTGTGTCAAACCTCTACATATGTGGGAATACTTCCACTGTCCCTTCTACACCCTTTCAGTCTACATGTCTATGCATTGTCTAACTCCGTGTTGTTAAGTGCTGTTGAGTCAGTTCTGACTGATAGTGAGCCCGTATAAGGCTTCTAAGGAGTGACTGGTGAGTTTGAACTGCCAACCTTGTGGCTCAAACTGACCTTGCGGTCCCGTGCATATCCTACAGTGCCACATCAGAACTCCCTTCTACTCAACATCATTGCAGAATTGTATATATAGCAATATGCTTATGTCTGTTGTCTTTAACTCTTGCACTCCTCTCAGTGCCTTCTCCTGTTTCCATTGTTTTATGCTGACCTCTCTTTTATTATATATTGCCTTCCCCTTCACCCAAGTTGACATATGTCTACCTTCTAGCCAGTAACTTCCCCTCCCTTCTCTTCTCAGCCCTTAGTAACCGTCAATGAATATTTCTTTTAATGTGAAAACTTTTTCGAGATATTTTACAATAAGGATTACATAAAGTATTTGCCCTTTTGTGATTGACTACTGGTGTCATGCTGTAGGATAAGCACTGGATTGCTGACTGCAAGGTCAGTGGTTCAAACCCACCAACCACTCCTTGGAAACCCTATACAGGATCGCTATGAGTAGGGACCAACTGGGCAACATTTATCATCAACAACATAATATCTTCCAGGTTCATATGTGTTATGAGGTATATCACAGATTGATTATTCCTTAACATTGTGCAGTATTCCATTGGAATACTAGTGTGGCAATGTGGGTTAATGCACCAGACTGTAAAGTCACTTTGAACCGTAAGATTGGTGGTCCAAGCTCACCAGTCGCTCCTTGGAAACTCTATACAGGGTCGCTATGGGTTGCAACTGACAGCGCCATCAGGATTCGTATATTAGCTATTAGACAGAAGCAAATCAAAACAACAAGGAGCAAATAAAAAACAACCCAGCATTAATAGCCAAACACCTCACAATAACAAGTCATAATTAGCTCAGTGGCAGTGAGTTTTTTGTTTTGTTTTAATTTGGCACTTCACAATAATAATAAGTATTCCATTGGGCATATATACTATAGTTTCTTTATCCATTCTTCATTGATGGAGGTGTAGGTTGTTTCCATCTTTGTGCTAGTGCTGCAATGAACATGTGTATGTATATATTATATGCATGATAGTAATGCATCTTCTTTCTTTAGGATGGATACTAAGTATAGAGGGATTATAGGATCATGCGGTATTTTCGTTTTCAACCTTTTCAGAAAGAACCGCACTGTTTTCCACATTGACTGCTCCATTTTACTTTCCCACCAGCAGCGTATGAGGATTCCAGTCTACACATCCTCACCAGCATTTGTTGTTTTCTGTTTTTTTGATCTTTGCTATTAATGCTGGGTTGTTTTTTATTTGCTCATTGTTGTTTTGATTTGCTTCTGTCTAATGGCTAATAAACGAACCCTGGTGGTGTGCTGTAGGATATGCACTGCACTGGAAACCATAAGGTCAGTAGTTCAAACTCAACAGCCACTCTGCAAGAGAAAGATGAACCTTTCTGCTTTTCTTAAAGATTTAAAGCATTGGAAACCCAATATAAGGTTGCTATGAGTCAGAAGTAGTCCGCTTCTCCTTTATTCTGGTTGGACTACCTCAGTATAGATTGCTCCTCTTTCATTTTATTGTAAATAAAAGAAAAATCCTTAAAATTGGACCAATAACTTCTTTAGAAATGAAGAGAGGAGTCCTGGTGTGGCGCTATAGGATAAGCATTGAACTGCAAAATTGGTGGTTCAAACTCACCAGCTGTACCTCAGAAACCCTATCCTGGTCGCTATGAGTCAAAACTGACTTGACAGCACTTAATAACAACAACAAATGAAGGAAAGATTGAAATTGTCAAAAACCTTATTTTGCTTGGATCCAACACTTACTGAAGCAGCAGCCAAGAAATCAAACATAATTGCATTATGCATGTCTGTTACATAAAACCTCTAAAGAGCAAAGATGTCAGTTTGAGGACTAAAGTTCTCCTGATCCAATCTCAGGTATCTTCAATTGTCTCATATACATGTGAAAGTTGAAATGTGAATACAGAAGATTATACAAGAATCAATGCATTCGAGTTATTGCGTTAGAGAAAAAATATTGAAAGTACCATGGTTTGCCAGAAAAACAAACAAATCTATCTTGGAAGAAGTACAGCCAGAATGCCCCTTAGAAGCCAGGATGGTGAGGCTTCATCTCTCATAGTTTGGGCATACTAGTAAGAGGGGTCAGTCCCTAGAGAAGGACAATATGCTTCGTAAAGTGGAGGATCAGAGAAAAAGAGGAAGACCCCCAACAAAATGGATTGGCACAGTGGCAGCATCAATGGACTGAAGTGTAACAACAGTTGTGAGGAATGGTGCAGGTCCAGGTGGTATTTCATTCTTTTGTGCATAGGGTCACTATGAATTGAAAGTGACCCAACAGCACCTAACAACAACAAGTCATAATTAGCTCAGTGGCAGTGAGTTTTTTGTTTTGTTTTGTTTGGTGATTCTGTAGGATAACAGCACTGTTACCTGCAAGGGCAGCAATTCAAACCCACCAGCCTCTGTGCAGGAGAAAGGTGAGACTTCTGCTCCTATAAATATTTACAGCCTGGTATGATGCCATAGGATAAGCACTTGACCTCAGGGTCGGTTTGAACTGCAAGGTCAGTGGTTCAAACTCACTAGTCACTCCCTGGAAACCCTATACAGGGTTGCTGTGTGTCGAAACTGACTTGAC